TCAAAACTCTCCTAACATCCCCTCACATTTATATTTATCATAACAATACAATTTTAATTAATATAAAAATAGGAATGTTACACATAAATTGATTAAACATGATTAGCCTTGTAGAATGATTTATGATAAAATTTCTAATGAAATAAGCATCATTAGCAACATTACAAATCTAATTACACTCACCATAAACAACCTCATTAGTTGATATATTTTTTGGTGCATAAATCTTTTTTAGAGCAAGATTTAATGCGTATACAACACATGGTGTCCAAAAAATATGAGGATGAATAGATTCAACAATTGATCTAGCTGCCTTGCAAACACAAGCATTATTAGTAGTAACTTGAACCACATTTTGTGATCCAACCTCATCAATTCAACTATTAGTTACTACACTTACACTATTTTTTGGCCAAGTATCTTTTATAAGCTGAAGTCACCTTAGAATGTCAGACTTTTTTCTTTGTGACATACTAATCCTTATTGCATTATGAGAAGGTAGAAGAAATCTCGAAATAGAAGTGTTTGTAATATATGTAAATGCACTAATAAAATAAGGATTTCTTGCAATATTGAATGACAAACCCGCATAATAAAACATTTTGGCTATTTTACATGATAAATGGTCTCTTACCTCGTTATTAAATATCTTTCTCAATGGCCCTTCAATTCTTCTTCTTTTCTTGCTCCCATCAACAGATACATCAGTTATAGGGGGTTTGAACTTGTAGTTTTAGTGGGCAAAAGAACTTGCACAAACTTCAATTTTTCACTAGTCTCTCTTTCAAGTTATTTAATCTCTTACAAATATTCATTTAACACATATAAACAAGTAGCTATCTCATGTCCTCTTCCTTTCAATAAATGAGATTTCACTCTAAAATAAGAACCCTTGTAGGTTCCTTGACAAAAGTTGCAATACTAACTTGCATTTTCTATGCCATCTTCTTTACTTTGTAGTAAATTTACAAAACCCTAGAGAAGATTTTCACCTTTAATTGATCCTATGGCAAATATTTTGCGCAAAGATGTCCCAAAATCACTACTAGACTGTTGTGATTACATCTGTTATAAAATAAATTAATAAACTTGAATTACTAATTTATTTTAAAATTCAAATCAAGTTTAGTGTTCCTAAAATGTACAAATATTTGGAGCAGATCAGAAAACATGCTTTATGGATAAAATCTAAATGTTTATATACGTCACAGAACCACATCCTCATCCCACACACAATTCATCTTAGATCTAAACTTATCTTTGAGCTAAGATGGAAAGCAAAGATGAAGCTACACGTCGATATGTGGGGAAAAAAAGAATTGAGTCAAACTTTTGAGCCCAAAAGAAAACCTAAAACTCTAATTATTTTTTTTCCAAAAATCTTCCTTCCTGTACCCACAACCCACAATGTACTCACATACCCATTTTTTGTACCCAAGTTTTTTTTTGCAATTTTTTTGAGTACGTACCGTACTTGATACATACCTCGTATTGATACTCCAAGGAAAGAAGCATACCCGTGCTTCAGAGGATGCTTAAGATTGAGTGGTCCAAAAAGTTAGTAGTTGCTTGCACTATACTTATGTAAGCTTTATATTTTGAGTAGGACCAATGTTGGAGACTTGGTTCACAATCATTGGCAACTGAGAAGACTTAGAGTGTGTCTTATAATTTGGGGGCAAATTAGGTAATCTGAAACACTTACCAATCGTGTGACCTTGAATTCTACAATAAGCACAAGTTGGTATATTTTTCTTTTGATTCTTTCCTTTGTGATTAGTCCCAAAATATTGTGTTCTTTGGACAACAAAAGCCATTTGGCAATCAATTGATGAAGAAGTAGTTATTGTAAAGTGAACTATTTCATTAAAGGTTAAAAAATAGATGAAGAAAGGGTTGCATGAATAAAAAAGGGAATGGGTAGTACCCCTCTTCTTTTCTCTATTAAGTAGTTGTTGTATCCCCTCCTTATCCCCTTCAATTTATTCACTGTTCACGATGTCCATTGCCAATTTTTTGTTGCCCTCAATTTGGTGGGGTGTTACTCATTTGAGAGAAATTTTCTATTTGGTTTTCTAAGGTATGCTTATAACTCGAATACATAAGAATGTTAGATCTTGACAAGTTCTTATTATTAAGGAATATATATTTTAGAGCTCTATGTATAGATCTAAGAATTTTATCATTGAAGTTACTTTTGAATCCCTGTTAAATATTATTGGTATTCAAAATTGTAGGCTTGCATTTTTCTCATAGTTCCAAAGTAATCCTATGAATCGAGTTAATTAGTCTTCATTGTTTGTGAGTAAATAATGATCATAGTGACTTATTTTTAATTATTATTCTAATTATTTATTATGTTATTATTGCTATAAAATTATTAACTTGATGAAAAAAGTCTTAAATTTATTTCTTGATAATGTGAAAGTTTATTAGGATGTGTATTTTGTTTAATTATATGATTTTATTTAGAAAAGTGTGAAAGAAGTTATTGTTTTAATTTTATTTGATGATATTTAATTATGACATATGTATTGAGACTTTTATTATTGAGAATAATGACCTATGTGCACCTAATTATACTTTGGGAGGAAATGACTACATGTTAGATGGAGCTACCAATGCATAGAGAGGGCTATCAACAAGATGAAGTTGCCCCTATCAAGATTGATTACAAGATTATGTATGCTAGAAGAGTACCCTTAAGGGAGAGGCTGCCCTTAGGACGAGAGAGCTATCAATGAGGTAGAACTACTTTAGACTTTGGTTCTCTCATGAGTGATTCTTATAACATTGTATTGATGCCTACTTTGATGATGTTTTAGAAAACTAAGATGATTTAATTCTAGTATATCTATACTGTATTATAGTACTCTTGTTTGAAATGATATTTTCTTAACAGTATAAAAATTTGTAAGATTTTGAGCATGATTAGACTCTTAATGGAGTGACTAGAATAAATTTCTTTTAAAAATGGTATGTTTAAGTAAGTTCTATGATTGCAAACTATTCGTGGGATATTTATTTCTATTTATTGTCATTGTGGTTATCATACCCTCATTGAGTTTATGTCTTACCTCCTATTTATATAATATTTATAAATCATCAAGTAACGAAATTGCAGGTTACTGGAACATTAGTCCATTTTAGTAGAATCTCCATTGTTTCAGTGGCATTCACACTTTTCAATTTATTTTGTTAAGTTTTAGACATTATGTTATTGTTATTCGTATTAGATATTTTAGTTTTGATATTATAATATATTGGAGTTTGATTGGTTTTGGTTGAGTTATAAATCAATCTTGACAGGTTATTATATTTTGGGATAAAGAAAATATAAATGAAACTTTGCTAAAATTTTGGCAAATTCATCCTATTACTTGATTGAAAAGATTTTTTGTCTTATGTGTTAGTTTCTAACTAGGTTTTCATGTCTCATCTTATAGGATTTCTCGCTCTGAACACAAAAGAAGAATGATGCTTGCAACAATTTCTTTGTTAACAGAGTTAAAAATCTAAGAGACAACAATATTGTTGTTGCGAACCCAAGCACTATAAGATGGATCAGGCTTAGGAATAGAAACATCATCGAACTGAGCTTGTTCTTGTCAAATAAGGCAACCAACACGAACAACTTCAAGTGTTATAGTTAGAACCTGTGAAATGTTGTGAAATAAGAACAATACCAAAACCATCAAAATGATGCAAGAATAATGGAATAGTAAGATCTTCTGTCGTAACAAAAAGAGGAGGAACAATCTCTAAGAAACAAAAAAAAAATTGATAAGAATGAAGAAACTTGCATGAGATACGGAAGTAAGAAAAATTTTTCCAATCAAAATTGTAGCAAAAAATGAATAAAAAAATAATTGATTTTCTTATATTATATTATCAATGGAGAACAAATGTTTATAAAGGATTGCAAGGAAATTTACTATGTATAAAATTATCTAATTAGATTACATTTAATTGAATGAAAATTGGAATTACATTATGGTAAATTCTATGGTACTAAGTAAAATGAGAGGGTATTCTATGTTTTCTCACACATAAAGTAATTATGATTGTTAATTTTATATTAATAGATGGTAGAGTCATTAATTTATTTTAAAAAATCATAAATATTCTTTAATTTCAAAGATATTTAAATAATTACAACTATCAATCTAGAGCAATTATTCAATGTTCCTCAAATTTAAGAGTGTTGTAACAAGTATTATTATATTATTTATATTTGTAAGGTAAAATCTACCGTATATCTTGTAATTGAGATGATTTGATACCTTTTTTATACGTAAAACAATATTGATCATTAATTTTATATTGATAAATAATAAAGTTAGTAATTTAGTTAAAAAAAGATGTTAATACTCTCTTATCTTTATATTAGACAAATCACAATCTAAAATCTAAAGAAGGTATTATATCTCTTCTTAAGTATATAGATACCACATCAAGCGCATATCCATAATAAAATGATTGTATTGGATTATTTTTTATTTTTTCTTCTTTGTTTTATTATCATAATTTTTTCTTTTTTATTGTAAAGTTCAAACATTTTTTCATGTTTGGATATGTACTCATTTATGTTTTTTCATACTTATCGAGGATTTTAGTTTTTCATATCATCTTTTATTATTAGTTTTATTACCTACTTGTTATTTTTTTTTTAAATTTATTTATGGTACACGTGTTTAGTTTAATATAATTAAAATTTAAAATTTAAAAACATTTATAAATTATTTTTAAAATTTATTTTATAGAAGATATAAAATTGTATTTAAAAATTAATTTTCAAATATAATTTATAAATGATTTTCAAAATTTAATTTCAAAATATATTAAATATACTCTCAAAAAATAATTTTCAAATATTAAAAAATGATGCAAATAAAAAAAATAGCAATGCCTGAGTAGCTCCATTTCTGCGGGCTCGGGCCTTGTTGGCCCTTCTTTTCTTCCCACGTTGACCCAAAGCAAAAATCGAACAAAATAAAAGAGGGTTAACAAGAATCAGACTCCAAGAACTGAAATAAGAGAGAGGGAAAGGGTAAAGAAAGAAAAGGGCTAAGAAGTGAAGTGATTGATGGCACTAGAGGAAGAAAGCGCAGTGAAGGAGCCTTTGGATCTCATTAGGCTCAGCCTTGACGAGCGTATCTATGTCAAGCTTCGTTCTGACAGAGAGCTTCGTGGCAAGCTTCATGTACTTTTTCACTCATTCTCCTTTACTCTGTTTCTTTCAGCTTCTACGCTCTTTTTGTGACTACCCATTAACGCTTAGGGTTTGTAATTGCGGTTTGGATGCTTTTTCTCACCTGGTTTTAAGATAATTGAAATATGGGCTCTGTATAGTTGTTGGAAAGTTTGTACCTTTCTGAGTGCCATAATCATATACCGTTTGTACGAATAATGGGTTGGTTACTGCTTGCCTGTAGGGATTGAATCTTTGTGGTTCCAACATTTGGTGTTTGGAGGGAATTGTTTGTTACAGAAGGAAAAATTGACAGTGTTTTGAACTAAAATTGAAAAAGAGAAGAAAGATTGGGAACGAAAAATGATATCTATGAGTTGTTAGTTTTGGGTAGGTGAAGAACTTTATGCGGACAATTGATGTAACTTGAACTTTTGGGGTTTCGAAATTGTTTATACTAAGTGGAATTTGAATGGTTAGCTGAGAGTAACGTATTGAAATGATTGTGTTTTTGTAAAGGTTCTTTTAGGGCTATAACTAATGTTTTCAACTAAGACAATGATCTGGTGCATTTTGCGAGGGTGAGTTGGTGCTTTTAATGCATGTGTTTATTTATTGGTCCTGCATTTCTATAAGACTGTAATGAGCTTGTAGTTTGGTTTACTGAAGGGTCCTATTTGAAACTAATCAGAGTTCAGAACGATTTTTACAAGTTACATGTCAGTCATTGATCCTGTTCGATTGACAGAAATTTCACTATGAAAAATATCTTAACTGCAGAGGTTTAAGATTTCAGTTTGTTATGAAAGTGGGTGATGAATGATGAGATCGCGATGTGCAATAATTTCAGTCAAATAATCTGTTTCACCATGTCAAAATAGCTGAACTGGAAGCAACCTCTACATCTCTCCAGTGCAATTCATTTGTCTGACTTGCAACTGGTTGCCTACTGTTATTTATAATCTAACAAATGGTATAATTTACTTAACTATTTAATGACTAAAAAACTATTAAACTTTGTGAGTTTTTAACTTTTAAACTTTCAGATCTGAACCTTAAAGGTTTTTTGCTTCTCCCATCTCCTGTGCAAAGTGTAAAGGCATTCTTTGATTGGGAAGTACTGAGATACCTGATGGATCAAATGTGTCAAAACATTGTACTTCAGCTAAAATAAGACTCTGTGTTTAAGTATTTTGGAGTCTCTGAGTAGGATTTTTATTTGAAGAAAAAGGACCTTAAATGAATTAAATTTGGATCTGATTAGCACTCAGCATATCCTTCCCCAAAAATTGGTTTACGGATTCATATTTGTTACATGGGCAAGACTTTTCTCTCTTCCCTCAACTATTTATCTACCACATAGCTTATAATTTGTCATCATAACTGGGGAATGCCATCTATTTGATACAAGTCTATTTTATCAAATTATTCTTCTTGGAAATAAACTTTTATTTCCAATTAAAATGGGATGATATAGAAAATATGCATTTCTTGATATTTAGGCTACATAAGTAAAATTTTGTAGAGGGAGAATTTGCTTAGAATTTTTGTATCTGCTTCCTTCCATTTCCTTTCTTTCCCCTTCTCATGCAGTCCCTTGGTGTTTATTTTGATCTTTAAGGTTTCATTGGCTTGATATGTTTTTTTTCATTTTCTCATTTTGTACTGGGTTTTCAATTTCAATTTGAAATTGCAGGCTTATGATCAGCATCTTAATATGATCCTTGGTGATGTTGAAGAAATTGTTACTACTGTGGAAATTGATGATGAGACTTATGAAGAAATTGTGAGGGTAAGTTATAATCAACAGAAAAGAAAATTACATTTGTATTCTTTTTCGGCTAATAAGTCATAGGACTGTGAATAGTTGCTGGAGGATTATAATAACTTAAGCTTATTTATGTTAATAGCATGTTGAGTGGCAGCATCCATGATTACCTGCTCCTGTTTAGGAAGAGACAGTTATACTTAGAAGTTAAAAACTTAAAAGGTTAAGGAGAAACATCGTTTAATGAAGTTTGGTTGTGTGAACGTCACTTGAAAATAACTATGGCCAAATAAACTGCTTATCAGTGAGTAATGTAGAGTAAAAAGCTAGACATTTTCAGATATTTTTTAATGCAACCATGGGCCTTCTGCTTTTTCCCACTATTGGCCTTGTTATTGCAGAATTTGGATGCTAACAAATCTGTATAGGGCCATTTGCTTGACTGACTTTCTGTTGGAGTAAAGTAAAAGTTGTCTTTCTTTAACAGTTATGTATCACAGATAAGGGAGGAGCACCTTTGGAAATTTGCTCATGTCTAGGGTGTGTCAAATGCATAGTTACAATCTTCAATCTGCTTCAACCATTGAATTGGTTGTCTAACAGAAGGAAAATGCATCCTACATTTATTTTAAGTTTGCTTTTCCTTGGATGATCTTTGGTTTTTCTTCTGATTGCAGACTACAAGGCGTACAGTTCCTTTCCTGTTTGTTAGGGGAGATGGGGTGATATTGGTTTCCCCACCGTTAAGGACTGCATGACATGGACCTACAAATTATGTGATCATTTTAATGACAATTGTCTGTTGATGAGATGTTACACCTTCATGAGTATCGTTGCTTATGATTAGATTAGTTCCTTAATTGGCATGTGTGCTAGAAATTTCTGTTTGACAGACAGTTTTCAATCATCTTTATAGCATATGACAAAATCATGGCTTGCTCATGAACACCGATTTTGGCTGCAAGTGTGGAGCCACTTATGAGCCACTTACATATAAGTGACTCCATAAGAGTAGGCCATGATTCCTGATTCGGTGTCTTTTCGTTGTGTTTGTTTACTTTTAGTTACAATAGGAGGGATGATTTGTAAGTTTGGTGTAGTCGCTTTAATCTTGCCGTTTTACCAAGAGGCGATTGCAGAAAGTAATACATTCACTTTAGGGGAAAAGTGAGTTAAGTTTTAGTCCCATGGATTGAAAATGAAAATGGTTGAGATTTGATTAAATCTAATTTTATTTATAATATCATTTTGCACAAAATTTTTGTGAAAATCATGAAAACATGTTATATAATTATTATAAAAATTTATAAACATTTTTTTCTATTAATAAAGAACTTTATTTTTGTCTTTGAAATAAAACATTGGTGTATTGAGTAAACTCAGAAGTCAAAAAATTATTAATTAAAACATGAATAAATTTTTTTAAGTTAAAAATAATTTACCTTATCAAATTTTAAAGAAGTAAAATGAGAATTTTTTATTTTTTTAAATAGATTAATATAAGTTATTTTTAATTTATAAAATAAATTTTATTTATTTTTTATATTTTTCTTATAAGAAATTTTTAGAAGTTTATCTACATTAGGACATTGTCACGATCTGCCATCCATGGGCTTTTTTTTTATTTTTTTAATGTTTTTTAAAAACAATTTTTTAAAATAATATTTTTTAAAAAATATGTTTCTTGTTTGGGTCATTTTTTTTACGTCAGCAATTATTTTATCTACCATATAAATAAAATTAATTTTTTTAAACTTTTTTAACTAAATTTTGTCTTCAATAAAGATAAAATTACACAATTGTGTTAGGTGTAAGTTTTGTCTATTATATATAGATAAAACTTATAAAATTGCATTATGTGTCATACTAATTCAACATTAAAAACTTAATTTAAAAGAGAGAATGAACGCATGTGGAAATCTTAATTAATGTTAATTAATAATAGTCGTTTCTGCATTTAAGATTATTAAAGTAATTTATTTGTTTAAAAATAATTAATATTTTTTATTCATTTTTCATATGTACCTATTTTGCTTTGTTTGACGTGTTTTTAAGTTTAATTATGAAAAATTAAATCTAATCATATAAGTTACCAGAGCAGTATTAATAAAAAAAATGAATGTTATTGGTGATAAGGAGAGAAGAAAAAAATTAATCATACTTATATTTTTCATATGCACTTATTCTCTCTCTTCTCAATTAAGTTTTGAAAATTGGATCAGCATGACACGTGATAAAATTATGTGAGTTTTGTTCATGTAGTAGACAAAACTTGTTACACATGATACATTTGCATAATTTTATCTTTGCTAAAGACGAAACAAAATAAAAAAATTAAAATAAATTAATTTTGTCTATATGATAGCCGAAACAAGTGTTGACGTGGCAAAAAAATCTCTAGATAAAAAATATGTTTTAAAAATATTATTTTAAGAAATTATTTTTTACAAAAAATTAAAAAATATAAAAAAAAGAAACCACCATCCATGTCTTTGAAGGATACAGGAGTCATAATACAAACATAACATAATATTAAGGCTTTGTTTGATAAAATTGTAGAAATTTGTAAATTTGTAGTTTTAAGTATAAAGCTAGTTGAAAATCATGAATTTATCGTTAAAAGTTTATAATTGTATAAATAGTTTATTGAATTAAAGTGTTGTAAAAATAATTAATTTGTATAAATGATTTAAAAAGATTTATAATATTATATTAATATAGTATTAAAATTTGATACCATTTATTTTATTTATGATTAATTAAATAATTATACAAAAAATTAAATTTCACTTCATTAGATAAAAGAGACAATGGAGCAAGTTAAAAAAAATATGAAAAAAAGAAAAATAAAATTAGACTAACATATACATGTAAAGATTTTATTGTGTGAAATGTAAATTATTTTTTAAATGAAGAGTATAATAATAATAATAATAATAATAATAATAATAATAATAGTATTTAGTTTAAAAAGTTAAACACAGATAAATCTTTTCAAGACTACAAGCTTTTTTTTTTTTCCAATTTATCAAATTGTTTTACAAACTCAACAAGCTTTTTTCTAAATACAGTAAGTTGTCTTAAAATAATAAGAAATGAGTTATAGGTCGACTTCCTAATCTTTCTAAATCAAGTTAAAATTTTGTCTAAATTTACAATTTAATGGTTGTTTGGACTTTAACTTAAAAAAAATTAGTTTTTATTTTATGATTTTAATTTTATTCAGAGATGATAATTGTAATAACAACTATTGTGGTAGGTGTTTAGAGTGAATGAGAACTAATAATGAAAATAATGGCATGATAGTAAAATTATAATTACAATTGTCATCAATTGTAATGGTAATTATGGTAGTAATAATAGTGGGGTGTTAACTGCATTAATAATAGTGCAATAGTAGTTTTGGTGGATGGTCATAGTGACAATGATAGATGGTGACGACTTTGATAAAAATGATAATAACAACAATGATAATGATAGATAATTGAGGGTGATAAAAGGATATTAATGAAATGATTGTGATGATTGTGATGGTAGGTAGTCCTAATAGTAATGATTGTGATGGTAGTAGTGATCAACACACATAGTGGTAACAGAGTGACAGTAACCAAGAAAATGCTCTTTAATAGTGACAATCATAGTAACTATAGGGTGGTGGTCAACAATGATAGTGATAATAATGATAGTGACAATTATAAGTATATCGGTTGTGAAAAGTGAAAAAATTGAATAAACTATTTCTATAATTATAAATTAAAATGATATTCTTTTGTAGATTGAATTAAGTTTGTCTTAAAATTTAGTTAAAAAACTAATTCAACTCTATTTTAAACAAAATTCTTGATTCTAACTTTATATATAAAAATAAATTAAAAACTTGTAACCATTTCAAATGGGCTTAAGTTTGACTGAAAAATTTAAGTTCATAAACATTAGTGCCTAATAAAATTTAAAATAAAATACATAGAAAAAAAAGTGTAGGTTAATAATTGATCAGTTATAAGAGGGTATATCTGTATCTTTGTTACAACTTTATAACATCTGGCTAATGGTATACAGTAATAAATTAATAAATAATAAAATTTTATTAAAAGTTGTATAGTTTAATGATATCAATGCATTAGATTTTGTGGTGTTCTATGATTTTCCATAAGAAATTATTATATATAAGTTTTTATTAAGTTTCATTAAGCACATTAAAACAATTGTAATAATTATTACGCAAATTAAGCAAATAAAGCTAGAAGTGTGGCTTTTTTACATGCTTGCAGCTTTTTTAACGTTAAATTATGCATGTGTCCCTTTTTTTTTCCTTTACATAAATGTCTAGAAACATATGTACAGAAGTCGATTACATACGACTTTTACATTCCATTTTGCCTTTGAAGAAGTCAAATTCAATCGACTTCCATTCTTCAAAGAAGTCGATTTTAATCAACTTTGAATTGGATCCAAACAAATCAACTGTAATTGACTTTCATACTGCAATAAAAACAGCTAAAATCGACTTCTCTTGACATTATTGGAGACGATTTTAAACGACTACCATATATCCCGAGACCAGAAAGAAGCAAGAAGAGAGTGAATTGAATAGAGAGAGAACTGAGACTAGAGAAAGAAAGGAGGCCAGAAAGAGTAATCAGAGAATAGTGGAGATAGTGAAGACACCAGAGATGACGAAAGATGGATAACAATTTATATCGACTTAATTTTGTTGATCATATTGCAAGCAAGATGTTAACACAGGTAAATTAATTTTTAAATATATTTAATTTTATAATTAGTTATTTTTGTATTTAATTTAATGTATTATTAATTCTGTAATTATATGTAGAAATATGTGCAAATGTTAATACTTATTATCTTTTAAATTAATTATAATTGTTTGTTACAATTATTATATTGAGGAATGTAAATAAAATTTTATTATATATTTATAATTATTATGATAATTTAGTTTTGTATTATAGTAATTTATAATTATAATAATTTTGATATAATATTTTTATTTAAATCTTGTATATATTATTTTGTTACAGAAAGCTCGAATTTTAAAAAGTATGCGTTATAATATGATGGTTCCTCCAGATTCAAGAATGGAACCATTTCTTAGGCAGACTGGTTTTTGGCATGTTGCATAGATGGTTCTAGTATTTGATTATGATATGACACTCATAAGTGCACTTGTAGAACGTTAGAGGCCTGAGACACATACATTTCACTTTCCATATGGAGAATATACGATCACTTTGGAGGATGTTGTGTTTCAGCTAGGCTTACATGTGAATGCAATCCCTGTGAGTGGTTGCATTGGAGCGTGGAAAAATTTTTATGATCAAAATATATGGGCATTATGTGAAGATTTACTTAGAGTAGTTCCTGATGAGAGAAATATAAAAGGATTTTCTATAAATTTACAATAGTTTATAGATATATTTGGAGCATTACCTCATAATGCTGATGGACAAACTATTATTTGTTACACTAGAGCGTACATAATGGTTATATTTGGTAGGGTATTGTTTCTAGATAAATAAGGATTTAGGGTGCATATGAAGTGACTACCTCTTTTATCTGATTTTACTGAGATTTCAAACTATAGTTGAGATTCTGCTGTTCTAGCATTCCTTTATCGTGTGAGCTTTGTCGTGCAGTGAAATACAATGTCACCGAAATTGCAGGTTATTTACCTCTTCTACAGTCTTGGACATGGTACAGAATACCTCAGTTAGCCCCTAGGCACCATCATCCTCTCACTTTTCCACTAACATTGAGGTACATTTATTATTGAATATGTTAATTTTTGTTATTTATATATGTTAAATTTGCACCCTAAAAACTAATTATGCTCATTTCAGGTGGAAAAGTTTTAGGTCATCGACGAGATTAGATACAAATAAGTTATTGCAATATAGGAGGATCATTGATTCAATTGTCATTGATGGAGTAAGTTCAAAGAGGATGTATGCTACTAACTTTTGTTGACTTTTAATTTTAATTTTGGGTCTAATATTTGTTTTTGATTATTTCAGTTTAGGTGAATGCCCTACAACAACAATAAGATTAGTATGATTACACCTCCTTTTGTGTATGATGAGGCTGATGTTTGGGCATTTGTGACTGCTCTTATACAGTTTACTATGATTGAGTGGCACCATATTGATCGCACGGTTCAACAATTTGGTGGAGCACAACACATATCAATCAGCCTGAATGCTAAGGATGGGAGGGGTGACCTAGATGTATGGTGACCTGATTATCACTAAACATGACACGCTACATAGGAGGCACAGGAAGCGACAAGTTCAATATCCTCTAACTGATGATGATCGTCCCTCTGTCGAGTATTTCTAGTGGTATTTGTCAGTCACTAATAGATTTTTATCATTGGATGGAGTCCCATAAAAATTAGAGCTTAGGGACTTGCCTGATGGTGTAGCACTACATGCTCCCCTAGTACCTGACATCACACACCCTGATGACGTTCCAGATAGATGCTCTTTTAGCTGTCGTTTGCGTGCAGGTACACGTACTAGTAGATGTCAATACCCCAATGAGGCGCATATACCAGCCAAACCCCCAGCACATGATGTACAACTTGATGCATATCCCACTGTACAACCTACATTACACCACATATACCACCCGACACCCATATACTCCAGCCAGCACTTCATGTCAGGATCTAGCCAACAACAATACATGTCTGGCCCTTTTCAACACCAGTTCATGCTGGGCCCTAGCCAACCATATATGACTCCCAGCCAGCAGTTTATGAGAGGTCTTAGTCATTAGTTCATGTCTGATTCTTTTCTTACTCTAAGTCCTACGCAGCATTTTGTCACAAGTCTAACCCAGGATGATATTGCATGACATATATCTTTCAGTCCACCTTTCATTTCAGATGTTGAGGTTACGACATGGCTACATTCATCTGAGACACGTGCACCAGTTCAAGATATTCAACCACCGGATCATTTCTATCGACCATCGCCAATGTATCAGGAGGAAGAGGATGAGCTTGATGACCTGGAAGAAGAAGCAGATGACCAAGATGAGCCACAGGAGGAAGAAATCGTACATCATAGACCAGTGCGATAGATTGTATATCATCGCTGTGTAATAGGGAGTCACATTGCTGGCCCTAGACGCAATAGGCATGGCTTATAGTGTTTCAGATCAATATGTATCGTTTTAATTATGCACTTTGTCTTTTTTTATTATTATTATTCAAGCATGGTGGTGTAAGACATTTATGTTTAACTTACTTTAAGTTTTAATGTAGTTTGAAATTTATCATTTTTATATATGATTAGTTTAGCTTGGTTAAATAAATCAATTTGTGGTAGACAATAAGCCCATAAAAAAAATATATTCGTTAGGAAAAAAGGCGATAAACAACAGATATATTGCAACACATTAAACTTAACACCAAGAATTCTTTTACAACATAACACAATAAATCAATTATTTTGGCTAGAGGATGGAGCATGTGAGCATGTCCGTCTAGTGTGACTAGTACCTCTACACAATCCACATCGCTTTCCCTGGCTCAAATCATTTTCATCAATTTCATTGTGAAAGCGGTCGACCCTCACTACTTTGCTTAAGTGTAGGATTTAGTCGCATAGAAAGGTCACTGTATGGTGGCCAGATATCTTCATTAGGAATTGAAGAGAATTGTGTTTTATACACATTGAACACGGACTCAATGGTGTAAACATCATGAACAAAAGAAGTCTAATCTCTTCGAGCGTCAGAGCATGCAGCGAGTGCATGACGACACGGATAATGTAACTTTTAAAATTATCTACAGTCACACCATCGCTCTATTAAATGTACCCTGAGTTTTCGTTGACCACGGCTTCCCATGTTATCTCTTTCAAACACCAAGTATTCTAACGCATCTCGGGTCACTCGAGTGGTACTCATATTCCCAAAGTGTTTCCTATGCTCCTCAATTGCATTTAACAATGTCTGTGAAAATTTTTTGCCACTAGCAAGTTGCATCTTTGCCTCTGTTCCTTTTTTTATGAACAATTCAATAAGACGATAATATGTTAACTTAACTATGGGTATAATAGGAAGATTACGAGTACCTTTCATGACCGCATTCATACACTCTAATAGATTAGTAGTCATGTGCCCAAAGCGACGACCCTCATCAACATATTGAGCCCACTTTGCACGCGGTATGTTGTTATTCCATGCACATATCGCAGGATCTACATCACCCAATGCTCTAAACCAGTACAAGAAAACTTGTTTAGTCTTTGCATATGCTGCATTCAACAACAATCGCTTTGTATCTTTGTTCTTGAACTTTACTACAAAATTTGATACAATGTGTAGCAAACAGTATTCATGATAGGCTGAAGGAAGATGTCACTCATTATTTGTTGCTTCTAGAGTTGCTTTGATAGCATAATGCTTATCAAATATGACAAGTATGCCCTCTTGTAGTGTCACATGCTGACGAACATTTCTCAGGAAAAAAAAAACCATGTTTCTTTTGTCTCCCTCTCCACCACTGCAAATGCTACTGGCAAGATATTTGAGTTGTCATCTTGGGCAATTGTCATCAACAATGTTCCACTATACTTGCCATACAAGTGTGTCCCATCAATTGAAATAAATTTTTTGCAATATTTGAATGCCTCTATGCATGGTGGATAAGTCCAGAAAAGACGATGAAATATAAAGCAACCATAATCTACAACATCACCAATATAGTATGGTCCAGTTTGCATTTGGACAATAGTACATGGCATATAAGACTGCAAGCCACCCAACCATCTTGGAAGTTCATCATACAATTCTTCCCAATCTCCATATATCGTAGCAATAGCTTTTTGTTTGGCGAGCCACACTTTTCTATATGTTGTCTTCAACCTCAACTCTGACTCGACTGATGCTTGTAAGGCTTTGATTTTTATCGTCGGATCTGCTTGGATCATAGGGTATATATAGGCACAAATAATATTATAATCCATTTGAGCATGTTGATTCATAGACTCTGGAAAGACACGTGTGTGGTCCTGTCAATTTTCGCACTTCCCATAACTGTAATTTTTTACGGAAAGTGACACGTATACTCCAATTACAGTTAATGTCAAACTTGACACACTTGCAATAAAATTTTATGTGATCAGATTCATAAACTTTATACTGAACACCTCTTCGGATGCTGTAATTTTTAACAGCAAACATCACTTTATTTTTATAGTGAAATACTTGACTAACTAACACATCACTATCTCGCCCTATACTCGAACTTGAACTAGACTCATTCACATTATAATGCATTACAGCTAATTGTTGAATAGTGACTAGGATGATGTCAAGCTTGAGATTGGGATTGGAATTGAGATGGCAATATCAAATGTTCATCCAAATTTTGTACATCACACAACTGTTCATCTTCATCATCGTCAATGTCCTCTTCTTCATCATTCTCAATATTCTGTTGTACCACAACAAAATCAAAATCTCTAACCAAGCTACCTTGTCTCATTTCCTGTGGATTAAGAGATAATGGATTTTCAATGTCTCTAACAAAGTGCTCAAAACTTGGAGAACCTACCTTATCATGTGAATTGTGCATGTGGTGGGACATCTCAACTAATGGACCTGCATTTGATACAGAAGGTGATGGATCTGAGACTGAGCCTTTAGAGCTAAAATGATCACCTTGTAATTCAGAAAAAAGCTCTATTGTACGAGCTTTAGCAAATGAGTTAAAATAACTAAATATGTGATCGATGTGCTCATCTTTCCGTATTCGTCACCTTTTATATCGAATACCAGTTGGCCTAATATCAACTGACATCCTGTAGAAAACCTTTGAAACTTGTATATTGTTTTCCTCATACTTCTCCAGTATTCGGCTCTCCAATTGTAACAAAGTAATTGGGGAACGGACAAAAAACTAACCAAGTCTAATAGTCGCTACGAAACTTCTCTCCCTCTATTGTGTTTACAATCTTACCATTATAATATATAAGCACATGAATATCATTCTCTCCCATTTTACTAAAAATGCACTCAATTGGTTGATTTTTTGAATAATTTGATGCAAGCTGTGTTTATTTATAAGCGAAAACAAATGGAATGGTAATTGAAAGCAGTTGTCAATACTAAAATCTATTAAAATCGATTTCTATGTAAAAGAGAAATCTATTAAAATCAACTTCTACGTTGAAGAGAAATCCATTAAAATCGACTTTTGTGTTAAAGAAAAATATATTAAAATTGACTTCTGTATAAAAGAGAAATCTATTAAAATCTTCTAGGTAAAAGAAAAATCTATTAAAATCGACCTCTATGTTAAAGAGAAATATATTAAAATTAACTTCTGCGCATATTGAAAGTCGATTTAAATCGACTTCTATACTAGGCCTAACCCAAATCCATATAAGTCAATTAAAGTTGACTTCTTAGTATATCTTAAATTATTGAAAATCAGTTAATATTGACTTCTGATTCAAAATAATTTCAAATTTTAACTAAAGTCGATTTTAATCAACTTCAACTATTACATTTTTAGGACAAATTTGTAAACTTTTCTAAAAAAGGACATTTATGTAATTAATTTTTAAATTTATTTTATTTACATAAAAAATCCCTAGAAGTGTTTATGCTTGTGTGTCGTTCTCATCGATGTTGTTATTTAAAATGAAAATAATGGAATAAAAATTGTAAATAAATGACATTATAATAACTAATATGTCTATGGAGTTCAACGTGTGCATCTCGATGGAAAGCAAGCAGTTATCCTTCTTCAATCTTCAGGACATGTTAAATTGTTTAATCTAAATATTGTTTATCCATAAATAAATTCTATAACCATGAGAGGCATATTAACCAGTTTTATTAACATATACATGACCAGATAACAAGTTTTGCTACGAGCACCAGCAAGAAACATTGGACAACAAGTGCCTGTGAGTAGCAAAAGATAAAGGATTCTGTCCAGGTTCATTCTTCTTCACCCTCAGCCTCATAAAGAGCTTTGATTTCTTCAACATCATCATAGCTACCAAGGAATATGGGAGATCGCTCATGCAACTTCTCTGGAACTAAATCAAGTGCCTGATGACATAGAAGATTTATCAATTCATTGGCAAATAATGATCCCTGTAAAACAGGGAAAAAATAGAACAAAAAATTGGAAGGTCAGTAAAGAAAATGTAGATTACCCGTTGCTTGCCAGTGAAAGCCTGTCCTCCTGCTTGTTCCATCAAGAATGACATTGGGAAGACTTCATACAGGACACTGCACAAGAAAAGTAAATTAAGTCGTCAAATTTTAAAAGATTCTGACACGGGAAAGTCTTATCAAGCTTGAATATGCTCCTGAGGGCCACAAGTAAAAGAATAAATGCAGAGGTTGAACATGGCATACCGAAGCTTTCCATTTGGACTTTTTTTATCTGCAGGGTACAAAAAGATTCCTCCATAAAGCAATGTACGATGGACATCAGCTACCATGCTGTTAATGAATAGAAGTGTTTATAAGTTGAAAAGAAATAATTGAAACAACTTTTTTGAAAAGGCGAACATAAAACTCTCATTCTGTGGCTACAGTCAAGTGCAGTAGTTGATGAGGATAATGTGAAAGTTTGTTGAGTTAAACTTACTAAAATAACCATTTACAAATTCTGTTAGTTGATTACTTCCAGTGCAATGATAACATACTATGCAGTTCTGAACATAAAAGACTATTGATCCATCACATTCTTCCGAACACCCGAATTATCATCTTTTTGGAGTGTGAACAAACTAACTGAAATATCAATGTAACTATTGCAACTATGGATTGTATAGCGTCTAATGGTCTGGCCAATAATTAAATCGCTGTTTGCATTAACTGTGAGAAAATAAGAAGTTAAAAATAAAATAAGGTTCAGGGTGGTAATTAACCAACTCTGTGGAGGACTAAAACAAGGTTGAGAATCTATGATACCTTCCAATGTATCTTAGAGACTTTGGTGATGAACCATCTTTTGGAAACTTGCATCTGTCCACGTAACTGAACAGAAGTAAAAAATGAATTACAAGATTGTCAAAATTTGCACTGAAGTTCCTGAAAACATTATAAACTACTGAATTCATGCATACGTAGCAGTAGGGCCGTCCCAGTTTTTGGCATTTCCTTCATTCACTGAATAAATGTTGCCTTTCTCGGGGATCTGTGCAGAACCACTCATAAAACGATTAACATATGCTTCAAGTATGCTACAGATGGCAAGGGCACAAATGTCCTTATATTCTATGAATTGATACACTAACTTTCTCCGCACTGGTAAATACCATTAAAGAACGCAGAAACTAATGTCTTCCTAATCCCAAAGAGTTTTAAATAGCGAAATCTTATCAGAAAAAGAAATTAATGTGTTCCTACAGAGAGATTATTGAAGAACATAACAGGTCAATCATCTAAATAGTTGATAAATATTATGAAACATTTGTTTCGAAAGAAGGGAAGTGATTGAACTGTCATCTTAACTAGGATTGGAATAAGTACTGGAAGTTTGTATGGCCTAGTAAAGCCTCATCCATCTAATAATTCGAAAATGCTACGACTTTAACCCAATATCTTTTCTATGGGCATATTTCAAGGTCAAGAGAAGTAGCTTGCACCAGATACAGTTTGAACAAATAAAAAATCAAAAACTTGCTGACTTTCATAAGAGCTGAGCAGCCAGACTAGCATTTGCAGAGAGAGAGATAATTTGTAAATTATAACAGTTACCTGTAAGTGGGCTGAGAAATACCTTAATGTCAGGGTGAGTTAGGATGAACTCACCAAGAGATGGGTCAAGGGTGAAACCATTAACACCAGCTCCAGTGCTTAACACAAGCTGCAAAACCATTAGATCTCAAATTGTAACACAGAAATTAAGCATTGTAATTTTAGAATGAAGACAGAGGAAAGTCTGAGTCCCCAGATATACCAGAAAAAAAAGGAATCAAATTGTTTTCTTCTTCCACCCAAATATGTGAAAACAAAAATTCACATTGACAATTTAATTTATACTAATATACTAAAATTGATCAGCAATCAGAATGAAACTTCGCCTAAAGACGAAGAAAATATAAGAGAAAATGAAGACAAAAAGGTACACAGGTGCACCCAAGAAATACAGGCATCTAAATTCCAATCAATTTTAAAAAGTGTAGATTTATTATACCGTGCAAGAGCTTCCATACATACAATAACCAGCTGCCACCATGTTCTTCCCAGGTTGCAGGACATCTTCTATGGTTGGTTCATGGGCATCTTTCAACGCATAAATACCAAAAATCTACAACACAATTATCACAGACAATGGTTAAGTTTGGATTAACTTCTCAAGAAGTATTCATTGGAGACAAAAATCAAACAGTAAAATAAATCAAATTTTTCCTATAAGTTAAAATGAACTTATGTTCTTCTACTATTTTAAATGAGTTTTTTCAATTATCTTTTTCAAAACATAAGCTGCATAAATTAATTTTAAATTATAAAAAAGGGATATTAGTTATTTTATTTTTTATTTTCTTTTTCTACAAGTAATTCTGCGTAATGTTTAAATTGTATATTACATCGTGTGATTTTAATAAAAACCTAATCACTTATTATATTTAAGTTTTCACTACATATTAGAAAAACTAATAATAATAACAATAATAAACATAGTTTGCAAGAAAGAAGGAGGAGGCATCATACTGTGCCAATGGACACCCCACAATCAATGTTAGACGAGCCATCCAACGGGTCAAAAACAACACAGTACCTGCATCATAAAACAAATCCATACTGGATTGATCAGAATCAATAAATAAAACCAAAACTTTGTCTGTAAGATTTTAAATTGCAGATAGCATCACGTGATACAATCACAACATCTTGGTGGCTCAATGGCCATGGCAACGGAATCAGGTTGTGATCGCAAATTGTTCAAGTCAAAATTGCCTTAATTACTCTTGATAGCCGCAGCTGCAATTTAAAACCTTTCTGTACAGAACAAATTACTAAGCCACAGAGAGAGTGAACAACTTTCCACGCAATGAAGGCTCCACAAATATTGCATCCTCGTCTTCTTCAGAAACCAAAATGCACTGTTCAAAGATCATAAAATCACCAAACCCTCAGCTTCAGTTCTTCAAGACACAGCCAAAATAAATAAACGATTTTGTAAAGTATTTATTACCATAGAGATACAATCATACAAAAATATAATAAATATATTTTTTTCTGATAAAACTTTTGTACGTTTAAACTTATTTCTAAAAGTTTAGGTTAACAATCAGATATTCGATCACTTACGGTTCGGCCACTGCTTATCAGAGCCTTCATGAAGACCTCATTGGAAAGGACATCAAGTTTCTTCTGTTCCTCGCCCTTCATTCCAAACAACAAACAAACGAAACAGAAAAAGAAAAGCAAATAAATAAAAACCACACCAAACAATAATAACAAAAACACATCGATTTATTCATCAGGAAGCACTTGCCTGAACATTGGTCTCTCCAGCGAGTCCAATAAGCTTAGCAAGACCGGCCTTTAAGCACAAAGGTTTCATTACTTTGATATCGATTTTGCAGTAATACCTGTGGAGAGAGAGAGAGAGAGAGAGAGAGAGTGAAAGATGACGAAGCGAACGAACCTTGTTAACAGAAGAACAAACGAATTTGCAACCGAGAACAATGTGATTGAGCAAGATGGTGAAATCGCCGCGTGACTCAGGGTGCTTGGATTGCTCGTTCAACACGAACCGTGTTATGGTCATCAAGTCCGTGCGTAGTGCCTCCGCGCTGTGGTCCATTATTTCGAGTCTTGTTCACCTGAACCGAACAAGCCGCACCCAATTAAGAAAGTACATGGGTGGAGTGAGATATTAATTGATTAATTAGTTTGATTAAAATAATAACAATAATAATAATAATAATCATAATAATAATATAAATAGTGGGTGTTATGGGTGAGAGGGGACCAGTGCAGTCCACTAGGAAAGAGGGTGAGGGGTTCGAGGTTTGGGTGACGGGGAAGAAGCGGAAAGGGATGGATCTATCTTCTGGCAATTGTGACACGTGGCGATTAGAGAATCAAATACCCATTTCGTAACTGTTGCGGCGGATAACGATTTTCGTCTTTCTCTCATTTTACGTTACTCAATACTGTATGCGACTATGCGATGCATTTCGATTTCGATTCTCGAGCCATGGAAGACGGTCATGGGTTTCCGCTATTCTTCCGATAATAATATATATTTTTTTAAAAAGTTTTGTTATATGATGTGTTTGTATATTAATTTAAGATTTAGATTCATTGAAATATAAGATTAAATTTAGATATTATACCACTTAATATTAATTTCTCCATACTAAGTTAATTTAACGTGTAATATATTTAAAATTTTAAATAAATATTACAATTTAGATGTTAATACATAAATATTTAAATTATATAAAAATTAATATACATAACTATAAAAATAATATAAAATAATTTAATAGTTAAATTGATTAATATCTTATTTTATAAAAGTTATTAAGTGTCTCATTATTTAATAAGTAATTGTTTAATATATTTTATTTTATAAAGTATATGATATATTAACATAAGTTGAAAAATAAATAATTTTGATTTTATAAGAAATAAATTTTTATTTTATTAATATTGATAAAAAAAATGTATGTCATAAATTTATATTTTATTTTAAAAATATTTATAAGATAAAATGGATCAATTTATATCTTATGTATTGAATAAATGAATATATACTTACATGGACAATAGGTGAATATTTTATTAATTTAAATCTTATTTAAAAATAGTGTAGATAAGAAAAAAATTGGTAGTTGTTTCTTATAAATAAGATTAAAGGGAGTAAATTAAAAAAAATAAAAAAATATGTTTAGTAATTTTTTTAGAAATTTATAATTTAGGGGTCATTTGAAATAATTTTTAATTTTAAAATCTAAAAATAATGTTACAGTTTTGGTTTAAATTTTTTTTATAATCTTTAGCTTTAAAATTTTAATGTTAATTTTTAAATTCAAAATTACAAATCACTCATTACATATTTAGATTTGTTTGTTTGAAATAAAATGATTAACAATAATAGTAACAATGATGATTAAAACAATAATAGTGGTGAATGGCTATAATAGTAATAATTTATAATGGTGATAATTTTGATAGTGACAATAGTAAGAATAATAGTCACAATAAAAGTAATATCAACGATAATAACAATAGTTTCAATAGTAATAGTGACAATGATGATCATAAATTGTCAAAGTAAACAAAGAAGAAACAAAGATGTTAATCAATGGTGGTAGTCATGGTGAATGTAACAAAAATGATAACAATAATGCAATAATGTTAGTAGTAGTAATAGTAACAATGATAATTATAAATTGTCAAAGTAAACAAAGAAAAACAAAGATGTTAATTAATAATAGTAGTTATGATGGATGAACAAAAATGACAACAACAATGTAATAATGTTAGTAGCAGTAATAGTAACAAATATTGTGTCACAACCAGAAAAAAGTGAATTAGCAAATAAAAAAATTGGTAAATATAAGTTAAAATTTGGTCGCTAAATTAATTAGCGTCTTAAGTGAAGTGGTTGCTATAAAACTAGTTATAAAGCATCTTAATGACTAAATATTTAATTAGTTGCTAAATTTTTAAATTGATGAGTGGATTATTTGATGGCTAATTATTAGTAATCAATTACAATTACAATTACAATAACCAATTACATTGGGCCTCATTTAAATTCTACCTACATGAAAAACATGGTAATTGATTATAAGTATTCTATAATTCAATAGGAGTCTTCTTTATTTCAAAATGAATAAACTCAAATTCAGATAATGTTGTTTTTTTTTTGGGTCATGAACTCCAACAAATTATAACTTTTGAAAACTTGAAAGTAGTCAAAATTTTCATATTTAAACAACTTTTGAAACAATGCAAGATACGTGTCTTATTGAGCCAATTTGAGAAACATGAAAAAATTCATGACGAAGAGAAAAGAAGATCTAAAGCCACAACTTGAACATAGGCCTTTACTATAGTGACAATGGTTGCACAACAGTGGCTTCAGGTCAAGAGGTGAGGTATAGAGGTAGTAATATAACTAGTTCCAACTAGTGATGCAGCAGCGATGGTCACTAGTTTCTTGCACTTCAAAGTTGTCTAAGATGGTTTTGCCATTTGGAGGAATTTCCATTGAAACCTATTTCGTTAAATTCGTAGAAAAAAAAAAGAGATGAAAAATTTGGATGTTATTTGGTTGAGAGAGAGGAGAAAGATCAAAAAGAGAAGTTAGAGAGAGAGAGAAAGAAAGAAGCATTAAGGAGAAAGAGAGTACGGTCATCAAATGGAAGGAAAAATCTACTTCTATCACTTAAACTCACTGTAATCAATTATATTAAGCTAACAAAGGGTCTCAATTTTGCAAAATTTATTTAGCGATAAAATTAGTGTTCTCATTCACACTTTATTTTGTAATTGAAAAAATTAATTACTAATTTGGTCACTAAATAACTTGTTACAATTTAGTGACTAAATCATATTTTATTTTTGTGATAAAAAAATTGGGTTACTAATTCAATCACTAATAATTGTTATAATAATTATCCATCGTCACAAATTAGTGACTTATTATTTTTTAGCTGCTAAATTTGGTTGCTAATTAATATTATTTGCTTCTAATCTTTATTTAATGAAATAAAGACTCAATTTAAAATTTTAATTTGTAAGTTACAAAATGACAATGCATATGAATACTTATATGCATAATGACCTACCTTGGTGGTCTCTTATGACATTTTTCATCAAACTTTGTGTCTTCATACTCTTCATTCACTCACATGTTTCTCATTATTTTTTAAGTGATCAGGATGTTAACTTATATTTTACACAACTAGTCTCTTTACCAAATTCTCTATTACCAATTCTCTTTTTTCTTATTCCTCTTGAAGTCATTGGGTTTACATACTTTGTTCATAATCTTATTCCAAGATTAGACAAGCTCTTTGCCCATTCTTTCAAGTGTGTCTTTCTTAGTTATCTTTATATTTTAAAAAGGTATAAATGTTACTCTCTTGCTCTTCATCAATATATTATTTCTTCTAATGTTATATTTTTTAGTTAGATCCTTTCTTTTTTATCTAAATCTTTATTTACTTCTTCTTCAGACTTAGTAGGATCAACATCATTCGTTCCACCAACCAATACTATAACATCCTTATTTTCTCTTTGGTCATCCTTTGCAGATTTAGTAGGATCAACATCATCATCTCTACTTCCACCAACCAATACTATAACTACTTTCAACTCACCATTAGTTTCATCTTGGTCATCTTCTCTAACCCTACCTTATACTAGCGATATTTCTATTGCTTCAAAAAAGTATTCTATGTACTTGAAATTCCTCTCCTCATTATGTTACATTAAGTTATTATCACTTATCTTCTTCTCATTATTATTTCTTCTCTTTTTTGTCTTCTATTTCTAGTCCTAAGAAGGTAGGAGTTGCTCTTACTTATCCGGATTAGAGACAAATATTGTTTGACGAAATGTGTACATTAGAGTAGAATATTACTTGGGATATGGTTTCTCTTTCTCTTGGAAAATCTATTATTAGCTATCGGTAGGTTTTTACCATTAAGGTTGATCTAGGTAACTTAGTTGATCACTTTAAAGCTTGCCTTATGGTTGAAGGTTATACTCAAATCTATGACTTTGATATTAGCAAAATATTTTCTCTTGTCACTAAGGTGACTTTTGTACAATTGCTCATGTCCATGATTGTCATTCACTATAACCCTTCTTTTAGTTAAACATCCAAAATATTTTCATCATAATAATCTTGAAAGAATTCTACAAAGAGCAACCTCTTAGTTTAGTTGTTTAGGGGGAATGTTCTAAACTTGTCTTTTGCCTACAAAATATTTTATATGGTATAAAATAATCTCCCCATACAGTTTAGTAGATTTAGTACGATTATTCAATAATTTGGTATGAGTCAAAGTAAACTAGATCATTTTTTTTTCTATTGTCAGTCCTACATCAAAAGCATTTATTTGTTTATGTAGATAACATTGTTAGTTCATATAGTGATCATTATGGAGTCACACAAGTGAAGCAACACCTTTATTAACATTTTTAGAGAAGGATCTTAGCATACTTAAATATTTTGTGGAGATTGAGATGACATTATCTAAACATGACATTTTATTTCTCAAAAGAGTTATGCAATGGACATTTTGGAAGAGACATGATTGATGAATGCAAAGTTTGTTGATACTTCTATGGATCCTAATACTAAGCTTATAACTAATTAGGGAAAGTCCTTTGAAAATATAGAAAGATATAGATGATTGGTGATAAGTTTGTAATTAGGCCATCTTTTACAAACTATATATTGACGTTTGGCATTTATTTGTATGTTGTGCAGTTTAGCATAAAAAAACCACAACTGGGATTAAGATGTGTTTTGGATCCAAATTGGTTGCAAAATAGAGCTTTGCAACAGTCAGTTGGCCTAGACCATGTAATCAAGCACTAGAGTGCTTCGAATACATACACAGTCGTGCATATTAACCAACACACCCATGTATTAGATTTAAGCATGCTCACCTGTAAGAAACCCAACTATGAAACAATTTTTGAGTTTTCAAAACCTATTTAAATGAACCTTGGGGGCAGCAATTAATCATCCTATTTTACACTTTACACCTTGTTTTTACACTTTGCTTTGGATTTCTCCTAGCATATTATTGGTGGAACTTAGAGCTTTGAGTGACTGTACTTGAAAATCGAGAACTCATCTTATCTCTAATTTACTATTTCTTTTGATTATGTCTTTGTTTTTTATTATTTCAGTT